TATTTTTTATATTACAATATCCATTTAATGGATATTATAGTTATACCTGGAGAGGGTTTAGGGGATCAACGCCCCCACTGACCAGTCTGTGACCAGGCCTTGTGGTGGATCAGGGTCTGATCAACCAGTCTGTTACTGCTGGTCATACACAAACTGATGTATGAACCACAGCCTGACTGATCAGTTACTGACTTCAGGTTCTTGCCCAGGGCCCTCTTGAAGACAGCCAGGGGTCTATTGGTAATCCCTCTTTCGTATGCTGGGAGGCAGTTGAACAGTCTTGGGACCCTGATACTTACTGTGTTGTCTCTTAGCATACTCGTGGTGCCCCTGCTTTGCTTTTTAAAGGGGGAGATGTTGCATCACCTGCCCAGTCTTTTACTTTCATGGGGAGTGATTTTCGTGTGCAAATTTGGGACGAGTCCCTCTAGGATTTTCCAAGTGTATATTACCATGCATCTTTCTTGCCTGCATTTCAGGGAATACAAATCAAGGGACTTCATCCATAATTTAGGTGCTTTATTGTAACTTCATGTTTTCTGTGGCCCATTTAAAGATTCGGTTGATGTTCACTTGGTGTCTTGCAGTATCATCGATGGATGACACTGTCATGCAAATTTGGGTGTCATTTCTATTTAACAGATTTTATAAGAGAATATTATCGATTTAATGGAAAAATGGTGATTTATTCTTGGAAATTGTTTAGGTGATAAGCAAAATAAGAATATTATTTATGTCAACTCTTAGTCATTAAGTAGGTTTTGCAAAAAATTAAGAAGCTTTGTTTTGATTAAGTAAATTTAATAACATAACCCAATCTATTCTCTTGTACCCAAACCCTAATCTTTTATATCCATTATGTAAGACAACCATAGGTCTTGGAAAAAATTAAGCTTCAAAAATTAACATATATGTTAGTAATTATGGAAAATATAAAATAGGTGCAGCATGTGTAAGCAAGAGGCAGCTGTATTATTGTCTTTTATCAAAGTTGTAGTTCTGTTCAAATCGTTGACCATTAGATAACACAGTAGTTTGTAGAAACAGCATGTAATAAAAAATGAGCATAAATGGAACTGAAGAACATAAGGAAAAAATAAATTACGTTCATTACCCCCCCCCCCCCAAAAAAAAAAAAAAAAAAATTATAGGTTTTAAAATTGTAAAAGAAAATTTAATGTAATTGTAGATCGATGTAATGTGCATCAATGAAAGATCCTACAACACATCTCTGCTAACAGACTGAAGTACCGTATTGTTTGGCTGTCCTCATTTCAACTGTATGGGAGTTATAAAGGAGAGGTTAGAGTGGTTGGGTATACATGGAAGAGTTAGAATGATTGTAGTGTACGTGGGAGGGGTCAGAGTGGTTGAGGTGCACATGGGAGAGGTGAGGGCAGTTGGGGTGCACATGGGAGGGGTTAGGGTGGTTGGGGTGCACATAGGAAGTGTTAAAGTGGTTGGGCTGAGAGGGTTTGGTGTGAGTGAGAGGGGAAAGAAGGGGAAGGGAATGGAGGACTGGTGAAGACTGAACTGTGGAGGGATGGGGGCAGAAGTTGGAAGCTGGCATTGAGAGGTGGAGGATACTGGGTGGTGGAGGGATGGAAGCAACTAGGTGATGTGATGATGACTGTGTGAGTGGCAGTGTCAGTGGCCTGGTGTGGTGGCAGGTGACTGGGTGGGTGAAAGTGTGATTGCTAGTTCGGGCAGTAATGAGGGTGGTGGGTGGCTACATGACTAGTGTGTGGGCTGTGAAAGCATGGGTATGGCATAAGCATGGGTAATGCATGGGCATGGAGCTGTATGGGTAAGGTATTGGCATGGGAGTGGGCTGTATGGGTGATGCATGGGTGTGGGACTGTATGGGTAAGGCATGGGCATGGGAGTGGGGCTGTATGGGTAAGGCTGTATGGACTCGAACCTGTGAGGAAGTGGTGTGAGTGAAAGCATTGGTAAGAGTGGGTCTGTATGGGCTTGAAGTTGAGGGTGGGTGAGTGACAGTATGGGTAAGGTGTGGATGTGGGGCCATGTGGGCATGAAGCTGTAGGGGAGTAGTGTGGGTGAAAGGTGTGGTTCTCGGTGGCCTGGTGTGGGTGGTGATTGGATGATGGGTGACTGAGTGAGTGTGTATTTGGTGGAATAATTAACCCTGAAGGTTAGCAACCCAAGATAACCCAAGAAAACCAATTATTGGGGTATATTTTCCATAGTTTTATATGTCACTCTTACCCAGTAGGCTTGCTAGGTAAACAGATATAAGGACACATATCCACCATCACCACTTGCTCAAGGATCAAACCCAAATACATGCACTTCAATTGAGTCCAAGGTACCCCAACTGAACCTTGAGCCACAAGTCACCTACAGGTCTGACTCTAACCCTTTCACTGTCGGTGCCGTATAGATACGTCTTACGAGCCAGTGTTGGTGACATATTAACCCCCGTAAACGGTCCAAACGTATATGTTTTTTCAACATTTGAAAGTATGTAAAAAAAATAGATCTTCTTTTTGTTTTTTTACATTTGAAAATGTGTAAAAAACTTTGATCTACTTTTTTTTTTTTGTTATATTTGAAAATATGTAAAAAAAACATAGATCTACTTTTGTAGCACTACACATGTGAACGTAGATCTGCTTGGACAGTTTACGGGTTAATACGCCAAAATTCTAGTGGCTTCAAATCTAGGGGGAGAAAGCTGGTACACCTACATGTGAAAGAAAGGGTTTGTGTGGTCAATGTGTGCAGTATTAAAAAAAAAATTGGAGGGCCAGTGATGCATTGTAGGAGACACATTTCAGCAGGCCTTGTTTACCATGCTTTGCAGTATATACAGTGGGCCCCAGAGTTTTGTGATTAATCCACTCCAGAAAGTCTGCCGAAAGTCGAAATTCACGAAACTCAAAACCATTTTCTCCATAAGCAATAATATAAATCCAATTAATCCGTTCCATACACCTTAAAGTGTTAACAAAAAATATTTAGTTTTTAGATTAAACATAGATTTATATACAGAAAAGAATGAGAAATGAAGTATAAGCAATAATATCACACTTACCTTTATTGAAGACTCTTCTTGGTGGTAGGAAGACAGGAGGAAGGGAGAGGATGGAGAAGTACAACTACTGTTTGGAAGGGTAATCCCTTTCCATAAAGACTTCAGGTACCAAGTCCTTATCCAGGGTTACTTACCTTTTTTGCTTTTTAATGCCACTAGGAACAGCTTGAGAATCACTGGACCCCTGTTGCACAAAAAATTGTTGCAGACAGCTCTGTTTCTGGCATTTCTATAAAATTTGCCTCAAATAGGACAAGACATTGTCATTGTACATGTTGCCGACATGGCTTGCAACAGCTTTGTCAGGGTGATGTTCCTCCATAAATGTTTGCACCTCATTCCACTTTGAACAAATGTCCCTAAGTTTTGAAGAAGGCACCTTATTCCATCTCTCTTCCTCCTCCTCTGAAGCAATTTCCAGAGCTGTGGTCTGTTGCTGTTGCAGATGAAGGTCTTGCAGCTCTTCAGTGGTTAGCTCTTGACTGTGGTCCTCCAACTCTTCCAACCCCATAGATTGCACAACTGGCATAGGGTTGTCAGGGTCAACCTCAAACCCTTCAAAATCTTTGTTTTGAGGACACAATCTGACCACATCAACCATCCAACAGACAACCTTCCACAAGCTGTAGCAGTTCTAGGAACATGTCCATTGACTCTATATATGTATATGTATTATAGAACTATAGTAATAAAAACATTTTTTATTTTTGGTTTGTGTAAATAGATTTTGTAACCAATATAATGATAATGTTTGTGCGGTTATTGTGTTGCATACAACGAGTGGATATATATACATTACACATTATATTGGTCTCGCAGGCCACAAAAGTTACTTGAAAAAATAAAATATTAAAAAATAAAAGAAAAAAGTAGAGTAAATTAAAAATAATATTACCAAGTGAGTGGCAGTCGCTGATGTTGTTGTAAACGGTTCACTTTCTGTCAACTTCACACCTCTATATCTCGGTAAGTACGGATGGCAATTTTTTTTTTTAAACACTCCCAAAAATATTCTTAAGATTTTGGCAAGATTTTTTTTTTTTTATTTTTGGACACAGCAACTTCAGGATCAAAGGTCTCGACATTGAAAGGGTTAAATATGACAATAACAATAGAGCATAGCAAAATTTTTGTAATAAAGTTGAAAACCTACAAGTCATCTAAGTTTCTATATGTATCAAGAATGTATATCAATGGTACAGAATACCAACAAGTTGATGAATTAGGCACGTGCAACATCGTATGTTCACTTTGTACATATTTTGCCATCCAGTGGCTTTATCAATACAATACATGCAAATAATCTGAAGACTGTATATATATTTATACAGTCTTCAGTATTGTATTGATAAAGCCATTGGATGGTGAAATGTCTACAAAGTGAAGATACCCAGATGTTGCATATGTATCTAATTCATCATGTATCAAGGTTAATGAAATATATTTAACATACAATCAGTTTTATTATGAAACCTTGGCCCCTTTGAAACTACCCACCATAGACAGGTAGTGCAAAATGTATAAACCAGCTATGTTACAAATGTACAAGCACTGTCACTCCCACAGAAAAACCCAGCACTGTAAAGGGCTATTAAGAAACATCAGTGAGGACACAGGATGATAATTTTGGGGGGATATTATTACATAATGCATGAAAGATTTGACATCCTTATTTTACTGGTTACAGTACTGCACTATATTTTTGTAGAGAATTATTTAGGCATTCCTCAGCAATTAATTGATTCTAGATCTAAAAAAATAATGTTGGATACTTCATTATTGATATACCAGGTAACAGTTTACTCTAATGTTTAGTGGTTCTAACCAGCATTTAGGAAAGGCTGTCGACTGTTTCCAAAGAGTAAAAGGGACGAATATATTTTACTCTGTTGGAGACTTAGATCAAGCCCCATTTTAATTTTCCCCCCTCAACACATTAGAAAATGTGACCATGTGGTTGCCTATCCAGTTACTGGCCAGGCTGAAAAATACTGACTCTCACTGATGTGGTAATGAACACTGCATCCATAATGTTAAACCAATGGCTTTGCAGCACCATGCCAATGGTTTTACAGCACTATGTCAATAGCTTCATGGTAATTCTCAGTGGCAATGGTATCATACTGCCATACCAGCAGCTCCAGTGTACCATACATATTATTGTTCAGATTTTTTTAATTTGAAACTTAGTATGTTTAAATGATATACAGCCAAGAATAAATTACTAGTAAAATAAAATATAAGTTTGCGATTGGCTTAAAAAAGGACATTTTCCGATTATAATGTGCATGAATATACCCAATTTCTGCGAGACTGACAGGATTCAGCAGTGCATTCACACATCCACTCAGACTAGACATAACATTCTGAAAGTACATGGTGTCATTTATTTTAACAAAGCATTGAAATTAAAAATAACTGAAAACAGCTGAGGTCCAGCAGCTAGAAGTCTGATAAAAATTAAGTTTTTTTTTCCTCCATGTAAGATGCTTGTATAATAAATTATTTTCTGCTTTGATAATGGTATTCCTACAACTTATTTTCTTCAAAACATATCACAAACTTCTCATTCTCTTAGAAAAAAAAAGCTTAAGTATTTACTTTTGAACTTAGAAGACAATGAAAGCTGCTAGTGTCTATAAAGACCTGCCATACTGAAAAAAGTACTTTTAAATGAAAACTTTATTTTCTAGAAATATCACATCTTGTCCATATGGAGACAAAATCATTATATATTCTTGAGAGAAATTTCTAAACATTGTACATTGAATTTTGATAATTACTCTTATATTCTAGAGGCTTAGCTTTTGTGAATTTTTGCTCTGTTAGTCTCATTATACTTCATGTACTGTGTCAATTAATGTTAGGAAACAACACATTTCAATATTGACATTATTTTTATTATACAAAAACATTTCTTAGATATAAGGTGGAATATTCTTCCTAGTTTTAATAAAATATAGTTTTATGATATATGCTACAGTTTTGACTTCTCCATATCACAAACTAGAGAGGCATTATGTTACAGGGAAGAGCAATAAGAGATGGGCCACACAAGTGCCACACATGGCATAATGTGGCACTCCACTTATATGCACAGATTCATTGTTTAAGTAATGAGTAATTAATATTCATTAAAATTATCATACAATTTGCCACATTTACACAAACATTCAGTACATGAATAGTGAATGCCACTAAAAATAAAAATATACATTTATAAATATTATTAGTAATCTATACAAAGTACGAAAATCTAGTACTGTCTGCCTGGCAGACATTTTATATATCCTAATATTGTGAACTTAATAGAACATAAGTTCTATGTTTAATAGAATAAAAAAAAAAAAATGTATATATGCACCTGCTTAACAGCTCTACAATAATGACAACAATCACCTAGTTTTATTGGAGTCAAGGTTGAGCATGTGATGCACCAGTCTTGAAGTGTTAACCACCATCTTACAGACACAATGCTCCTACTCTTCCTCAGAAAATATGTTAGCTAACTGAAACCATTTCTTTTAGATTTTAAATTTCATTGTTTTTAATGCAATGCAAAAAATTACAACTATCTCTGGCATCATAACTCCAGTTCAATATTTCACATTGAAATAAAAGATATTTAATATATGCAATAAAACAGTCTTGTTCCATAACTTTTGAGATGTCACAATTTGTTTGTATATACACAATTCAGAAAAATATTCAAGTTTGAGGCTCACTTAATAAAATCTACAATTGTAATACCTCACATTAATTTAAATAACTGCTATTTGCTCTAAAATATTTTAGAAGGCCATGTTTATAAATTTGATTTGTCATGAAGAAGTTTTTACACATTGATACAGAAATGTTGAGAGTCATATGATTTGCAAATTCCATAAAGAATTTTACTACATAAAACTATATAGAATTGTATAATAATGTACAATGATACAGAAGAGTACTGTACTGGTTATAATTTCTGTTATATACATGGGCACAGATTATAAAAAAAATAAAATATTAACTTTTTTGGTAAATGGGAATTCTCAAAATTTACTCTAGAAAGATAACCATTGTTTTAAAAAGTTACACATCAAATAGTGTAGATATAATGAAGCCAAATCTCAAAAGGAGACACGACCGTGTTTACTAAGAGCTGGGTAAGGGCAGGACAGGTCATAAAATGTTTGGTATTTGTACCAGAAAAGTGTTTATTGAATGGTGATGATGCCTTACTCTTTGAATTATTGGGTAGGCACAGAGCAACAATTTTAAAAATGCAAGAGAATTAAAGCTTAAATTGATTTTTTAATAGTTCTGAATGTGCTTTGATACAAATTTACTTGTAAATGCACTATCATAACCATACTGTAGATCATGGTTGTAGGAACAAAAAAAAGTAGATCACATAGTCAAGGTAGTGAACACGATCCATCAAGGCTTGCTAGATTTAGTAGGACTCACATCCTCTCTCCACAAGTCATCATATATTATAGACTTTATTAAACTTAACAGTTGTATAAAAATGTTTCCTGAATGGAGGCACAGAGGTTGTGTGTTTAAGCCCTACTGGAGGCATCAGTCAACATCCTCACACACTGATACAAATTGTCAGATGTTGTCTGTGATCTGGACCCTAAGGATTGATACACATATACCTAGCAGTCACTCTTTAGTTTGAGACTCAAACAGATCATCCATTATAGCTCTAAGGAACAAATACCAAATACACGTACAAGGTTATCTCCAACCAGGTTGTAAGTTGTGTGTTGCTTGACCAGCAACTCTCAGATGATAGGTGCATGCATCCTCAGGGCTCCAGAAGGTGCTCCAATCTAGAAGTCCTCAATGTCTTCCTCTTGAGAATCCTCATGTCAGAAGTTAGTATCTGGACGGCGTTTGGCATATGTAGCCGAAGAACCATAGGGACCAGACCAGTCAGTACGCCAGGAGTCATAAATGTTGATATTGTAATTGGGATTATATCCTTTCCCTCGGCTCGAAGGTGGCTGCAGAAAAACAAAACAAAAAATAAACAAACATTGCAGTTAAAGTATATCTAATATCTCACACCTAACCCACAAATCGAAGATAAATCTTCAGATGTTTTAATTCTTCCTGGGCCATTATCAAGTTAGAGAAGAAATGAGAGAGTAAACCAAAAGTCAAGTAAGGTGAAGAGGTTAGGAAGCAGCAGAGGTGAAGTGAAGTCAAGTGAGGCCATAGTAAGGTCAACTTATGAATTTCCTAGCCACATGAGAAGTCTTTTCAAATTCTTTAATAATTTCTTATAACAAATATATTCCATCCAGTTTTAAACTAAATGGGACTCACTCTCTCTCGCCTTTCATGTCCACCTCCCTGTAACACTTTCTATTACCATCAGTCACTAGTCTCTGCACAGTGGCATGTACATTCCTTTTTTTCTTACCATGTACAGTGTGTTAAGTTTTTATTTCTCTTTCAATGCATATGCAATCAACAGTTTTTCGAATTTGAACTTTCCATTCCACACAACTCATTCTTCAGTCTTAGCTGTACTTCTAATTTCATACTATGCCTGCACTTAAAGGACCCCAATGGATATAAGTTACTTTGACTTTTTTTGGTAATCCTAGGTTTTCTACGCATATGCTGCTATGTACAATAATCTATGTAACTGTATTTGTGTATACCTGAATAAACGTATTTCAAGTTTATTCTCTATAAGGGTTCGGACATGTAGAGAGAATGGAGCGAAACAGAATGACTTCAAGAGTGTATCAGTCTGTAGTGGAAGGAAGGCGGGGTAGGGGTCGGCCTAGGAAAGGTTGGAGGGAGGGGGTAAAGGAGGTTTTGTGTGCGAGGGGCTTGGACTTCCAGCAGGCATGCGTGAGCGTGTTTGATAGGAGTGAATGGAGACAAATGGTTTTTAATACTTGACGTGCTGTTGGAGTGTGAGCAAAGTAACATTTATGAAGGGGTTCAGGGAAACTGGCAGGCCGGACTTGAGTCCTGGAGATGGGAAGTACAGTGCCTGCACTCTGAAGGAGGGGTGTTAATGTTGCAGTTTAAAAACTGTAGTGTAAAGCACCCTTCTGGCAAGACAGTGATGGAGTGAATGATGGTGAAAGTTTTTCTTTTTCGGGCCACCCTGCCTTGGTGGGAATCGGCCAGTGTGATAATAAAAAGAAAAAAAAAAGGGTTACAATGTGGGGTTTACAGGTTTTGGGTATTGTGGGGTTTACATTTTATAAAATACTAATTACAGAGGGGGCCACTAGGACACCTAGCATGGCTAGGCATTTCGGGCAGACTTAGATTAATTCTTAACATTAAATCCTTATAATTTGTGAGTTTAGCAATGTGAATGCTTTTATTTTGGCACAATACAAAGTGTCTATATTGGAGTATCATAGGCAAACTTATGACTAGTTAGGATTTATTATTTTAAGATTAAGATTAGTATTTCTGGGTTTATAGTCAGTGGGTGAGTGAGTGTAATTGTGAACCACCAGGTGGTTATCATGTAGTTAGTTGTTGGGGTGTATCAGGGAGATAAGATGTTTTCTAACTGTAGTTTTGAAAGTGATGAATGTGTCTGCAGTTCTAGAGTTTGCAGGTAGGGTGTTCCATATTTTAGGTCCTTTGAAATACATTAAATTTTTGTAAAGGTTTAGTCGAACACAGGGAATGTCATAGAGATGTTTGTGTCTGGTGTTATGCCTGTGGATTCTGTCACAACTATCAAGAAAGCATTTTAGGTCAAGGTTAATATTGGAATTTAAGGTCCTGTAGATATAGATTGCACAGTAGTAAGTGTAGATGTTCTGAACAGGGGGTAAGTTTAGATCTATGAAGAGTGGGGGGGGGGGGTGTTGCCAGGGATGGGATTTAGTGATTATTCTTACTGCGGCTTTTTGTTGGGTTATTATTGGCTTTAGGTGTGTTGCTGCAGTTGAACCCCCAAGCACAGGTGAGGTATGGATATGTAAGTGAATGGTATAGTGTGAGAACGGCGGTTTGTGGCACGTAGTATTGTATCTTGGAGAGGATCCCCACCGTTTTGGATACTTTTTTTGTTATGTGTTGGATATGGGTGCTGAAATTTAGGTTGTTGTCGAGGTATAGGCCAAGGAATTTGCCCTCATTATGTCTGGCAATTAGAGTGTTGTCGATCTTAATGTTAAGTTGCGCAACACCTGCTCTGCAACCAAACATAATGTAGTAGGTTTTGCCAGTGTTAAGTGTAAGTTTATTGGCTGTCATCCAAGTCGATATTTTGAGCAGCTCCTCGTTAACAATGGTGTTGAGGGTGGCAAGATTAGGGTGGGGGATGACATAAGTCGTGTCGTCAGCAAAGAGAATGGGTTTCAGGTGTTGGGATATGTTTGGAAGATCATTGATGTAAATGAGGAAGAGCAGGGGTCCAAGGACACTTCCCTGCGGAACTCCAGTATCAAGTGGCCATATTGATGAGGCTGTGAGGCTGTGTCTTTAATGTTGACATACTGATACCTATTAGAAAGGTAGGATTTAAAATATGCAAGCGCATGGCCTCTTATACCATAGTGGTCAAGTTTGTGGAGTAGGATGCCGTGGTCTACTGTGTCAAATGCTTTTCTTAGGTCAATAAAAATTCCTAGCGGATATTCCTTATTTTCCTTATTTGCCAGTGTTAAGTGTAAGTTTATGTACTTACTCATGCTGAAGAGACCTCCTCTAGCCCTGCTTCTCCAATAAAAATGCCTTGCCTTCTCTGTTTCTAATTTACAAAATCTTAAAAATGCCCAGTGTCAGGTTAATACACTTCACAGCAATCTAGTTCATACTTATTCACTTCCAATGATGCAATAGGTCCCCACAGATGGCAGTAATGTCTTCCTGAAAATTGTTCCTAAATTGATTGATTGGAGCTCAAAACCTATTTTCACACACACACTGTGGAGAAATTTTCTCCAGGAAGGGGGTATCAGCCTCCTTCAGCCACTTTCAGCCCTGAGGGGCCCAGCCCTCTCAGAAGGGGCAAACATCTTGTTTACTGCTACAGCAAGTACAGTGGAACCTCAAATATCGAACTTTCTTTGGTCCAGAAGGCTGTTTGAGTGCCTTTACCAAATGAATTTATTCCCATGAGGAATAATGTAAATTAGGTTAGTCCATTTCAGACCCTCAAAAATACACTTATAAAAGCACTTACAAAAATACACTTACATAATTGGTTGTGTTGGGAGCAGTTCGATTTTTGAGGTTCCACTGTAATTGATCCCAGATGCAATACGAGTATGTGACGTGGTCAAGCGACCACCGCTCCTTGCAAGAGTCCAGTGTTGCAAAGTGTAGTTTAATAAGAGACAGTCCATCTCTTACCTTAGCAGGACAATTAAGGAAAATCCTGCTCCCACTATATTGCCATGGTAAAGATAGTGTACATTGTTGTCTATGCTTAAGACAGCAAGAATCAAGCATTCTGCTTTGCTTCATGGAGGAGTTTGGCAAGGAAGCAAAAAGTACTAGGTCAGCTTTTCCTTTATGTTCTAGGGGCATTGCAGCGGCATAGGATGCTGTGAGGTCAGATTACTTTTGACTCTACTGAGAGAGAGAGAGAGAGAGAGAGAGAGAGAGAGAGAGAGAGACACTGACGTGCCGGGATAACCAACAAAGAACACTTCCTCGCGTTTTGCACAAAAGAAACTCAATAAACACTTAGAGAAGTGTGACCAGTTTCTTTAGTGACATTATGGTGTGAACAATTATTGAGGAACAGTGTAACAACGAGTGTTGCGATCTAACAGAGTGCAGTGCGACATTTTTCAAAGAACACTATTCTTCAATCAAGACATCGGATATCTGGGCATAACTACGGGTCAGATACATGTACCCAGGTAAGTGTATTAACTCGTGATGTACTACTATTGACTGCGCAGTTGAGTATAAAGTTGCGAGTTAGTCACTTATCATAAACCCCGGTGATAAGTGGACCTTTGAGTCCACACAAGTAAGTGTTGTCAGCAATCAGTGTCTGATATATGCTGACATAACACCCCCTAGGGGTAATTTATTATTAATGTATTTACTTTCCAGCCTGTTGCGAAGTGGATACGACAGCTTCTCAAGACCTCGCCTGCAGGGGTGGCTGTGCAGGCGATGAGCTGTCTTACCAAGCTAGGTTCCCCTTATATTTAATCTTTAACCTTAGCTGGTAAACCATTTCTCAACATATACCCATGTTGTAATCTGAAATGCTTTCTTCTTCAGTATTTTACATTTAGTACTGTCTTCTTCACTTACAATTAAACATTGCTTAATTAGTATTTATTTGTTAATTAAACAGAACAGAGCTACATTACAGTATACAGATGTGTAAGGACAGGTACCACCTGGACTGTCTCAGAGGCAGAGATTTTTTGTTTAGCAAACTGGATACATCAACAGTGTGTTGTTTCTACCCTAATCTGCATAATAGTCACACAGTGGGAACAAAAGTTGTCTCCCTGTTATATTCCATCATGCAAGATGGGTCATATATATAGTGATAAAACCTGTCGGCCTGAGCTGGGAGACTTCAGTAGGGCAATAAGGATATTGTCAAAGTTTAGAAGTTCATTAGTTATGGAAGCTTAAAGTTTTGTTTCAACAGAAATGGAGTTACTATTACTTAGGAATTACCATCTCTTAGGATGGCTTTGGCCATACATAGGAGTGGTGAAATTTATATTAAGATATCTCCATTATCCCAGAGCGAGGACAACAGAAAGTATATACAGGAGGAGATAGAGGAGAAATAGGGAATAAGGAGGGATAGAATTTTGGATAATCTAATATATTTAGCCACATACACACATATATTAACGAAATCATTAAATGTTAAAAATTAAATAGTGGCACTAGCTTTGCAGCACCCAGCTCGAACAACATGAAATAAACTACTTCATTTGCAATAAGCAACAAAGGGAAAGGAGAGCTGGTGGGTAGGAGAGAGAAGTGTTGGTTAAAGAGAGCAGCGAACTCCCACTGTTTTGCCCCTCATGTTGACATGTTCAATACATAGGCAGCAGGAGGGAGGCAATGTAAGTGGAGATGCTTCCTCAACCACCACACCATCACCCACAGATTATCTCACTCTAACACTGCCCAAAAAGCAAATATATTTTTTTTTATCTACAGTTCTTGACCACCACAAAAATTAAAAAAAAAAAAATTATATCTGCATTTCTTGACCGCCACATTTTATTTATATGACTGCTTAACATAGAGTGGAAGAGGCCTTGCCTGGTTGACCTACCAGGACAGTCTCCTTCTACCACACTCAGAGATTCAGTCAGCCTTCTGTCACCAGACTAGTTGGATACTGAGTTGTGCCCTTATTTCCATTAAAGAAACACATGTGAACACTCAATAGTTAATTTATCTTGTGTTGGATTTATTCTCTGACATGTTGAGTCTGCACACTGTCTCATGTGGACACTTTCTGAGCATTGGTTGTGTCTACAATATATCTTCAGGCATCCTTAGCTCCTTGACTATGAAGGATGTTGAGCTACTGCTTGGTCTATCCATAAAATACAGGCGCATGTATACATAAACCAATTGACTGTGTGGACTTAGTTTCTGTTTGCTGGTTGGGTCTACATGCTGTTATGTCTGGGTCTCAGGTCTGGGTGAGGGTTGTCTGCGCTCATTGACTTGTGTGGACTGTAGTTTGTGTAAAGCGAGATGTGCACCTTTATTCCTGTGTGAAACTAGTACTTTTATAACTATTACCTTAGCTTAGAGGAACAGGATATATTTTGTTATGAGAGTTAATGTACTCATGTTTATGTACTCTTGCTTATGCAAGATATGTTCTACCTTGTGATCACCCACATTATTTTACCTGCCTGGATACTGGGGATTAACTTGGTGCTGTCACCTTAAGACTCACCCTTCATGTCAATCATAATTGGCTTTCATGGAACACTGTATGCTAGTGGTTCTCATGTAGACTGTATGCTATTGTCTTTGTTAATAAATGATAGAAAGTATTTATATTTCTTTACTTTATTATTTCCCTAGACTGGCATTTAACCCTTTGACTGTCACAAGCCCATTTCTGAAACTGTCGTTCTATGTTGCAAAATATTTGAAAAAAAAAAAATTATTTCCTTATGAAATGATAGAGAATCTTTTCTGATGCTAATGACACCAAAAGTACGAAATTTGATGGAAAACTTAAAGAATTACGCTCTCACAAAGTTAGCGATCTCGGCAATGTATACGCATTAGCGATTTTGCCGACTTTGAGCCCTATTTTCGGCCAATTTCATTGTTTCCAGTCAACCAAACTCGGCTATTTCTTCAGAACTCCATTTGTTCTATCAAATGAATACAAGAAACCACCCAATTACCTATTTCAACTACCCATTAAGCCTTTCAATGTCCACAGGCCCTCTCAGAGACTTGTTCTCAGGGTCCCCCAAATATCAAAAAAAAAAATTATTTTTTCTTATGAAAAGATAGAGAATCTTTTCCTGATCATAATGACGCCAAAAGTATGAAATTTGATGGAAAACTTAGGGAATTATGCTTTTGCGAAGTTAGTGGTCTCGACGATGTTTACGCATCAGCGATTTTGCCCACTTTGAGCCCTATTTTCGGCCAATTCCAATGTACTAGTCGACAAAGATCATAACTACTTCGCTAGAACTCCATTTTTTCTATCGAATGAGTACAAGAAACCACCAATTTACCGATTTCAACTATCCAATACAGTGGTCAGAATTTAGCAATTTAGCCAATTTCACACAAATTTCAAAATATGCCAATTTCCAAATAGGGTCCAGAATAAACAAGAAAGACATTCCTGGCACTAAAATAACATTTCCTCTGTTCATTAGTCACGTCCCTAGGCCCCTCTTACATTTCTTTTGCTTTCCACTTTGAATTTTTATTTTTACAAAAAATAGAAGATTTACTGTTACGAAGACTATTGCATTAGTGTAGAAATGGTATAAATAATGTCGGCGCACTTGCGAAAGAATATTAGACTCACCGGTTGACGTGTATTGGACGCTTAGCATGATTTGTTTACTTTTGAACTTTGGTAAAAATCAAACATTTCTGCTACTTTGAGCTCAATTTCAAGGTACTTTTCATTGTAAAACCAGTCAAAATCATCCCAATTTCTGTAATATGTCTTCCATTCTATACAATGAGACCAGGAAAACTAGAATACAACAATAAATACCATACGAAAATACAGTGCAAAGTCTCTGTTTTAATCCAAAAACACGGTCGAAGTTTTTTTTTCTCATTACGCACTGTGTGCTGCAGGATTTTTTTTATACTGCGCACACTGACCACATAGATGCATTCTTTCATATGTAGGCCTACCAGCTTTCTCTCACTAGATTTGAAGGCGCTAGAATTTATGAGTACTAGTACGTCATGGACCCTGGTGCGTAAGCCGTACTAGTATGGCCGAAGCCCTGAAAGGGTTAAAGTGGTCAGACATTGGCAATTTGGCCAATTTCACGCAAATTAAATAAGATGCCAATTTCAAAATAGAGTCCAGAATAAACAATGCAGACATTCCTGGCACTAAAATAACATTTTCTCTGATCATTAGTCATGTCTCCAGGCCCCTCTTGTATTACTCTTGCTTTCTGTTTTGATATTTTATTCACACACAAAAAATAGAAGATGTACTGTTATAAGAACATAAGAAAGAAGGAACACTGCAACAGGTCTACTGACCCATGTGGAGCAGGTCCATGTCACCCCCACTCCCTGGATTAGCCCAATGACCCACCCAGTCTGGTCACCTCCACTCAAGGAAGGAGCACGTCACCAGACCCAGCAGCACAAGCTAGTCGGGTCCAACTCTCACCCACTCTCACACACTCATGTATTTATCTAACCTATTTTTAAAACTACACAACGTTTTAGCCTCAATAACTGTACTCGGGAGTTTGTTCCACTCATCCACAACTCTATTACCAAACCAGTGCTTTCCTATATCCTTCCTGAATCTGAACTTTTCCAACTTGAAACCATTGCTGCGAGTCCTGTCTTGGCTGGAAATTTTCAGCAAGCTATTTACATCCCCTTATGCAGACTAATGCATTAAAATGGTATAAATAATATCAGTGCACTTGTGAAAGATATCAGACTCACCATTTGACATGTATTGGACACATGGCATGATTTGTTTAGTTTTCAACATTTCCGCTACTTTGAGCTGAATTTCAAGGTCGTTTTCATCAGGAAACTATTCATAATCATCTCTACTTCTGTAATATGTTTTCCATTCTATCAAATGAGACCAAGAAAATGAGAATACAACCATAATACTATATGAAAATTCACCTCAAAGTCACCATTTTAATCCAAAAACAGTTTTTTTTTTCTCATGCACTGCAGCTGCAGGATCTTTTTATACAGCACATACTGACCACACAGACCCATTCTTTCACATGTGGGCCTACCAGCTTTCTCCCACTTGATTTGAAGCCGCTAGAATTTTTGAGTATATATACATCCGAAACATTGGCTTATAAGACATATGTATACGGCCGAACAAGTCAAAGGGTTAAAGAGTGAGCTTTCATTCTCAGTCTTGCTAGAATAGTAATTAGTAAAGTAATGCATGTATAAAATATAGAGTTACATTATTTGAGAAGAGAAAAGGCCACTTAAATTAAACAGGCAGTTTTTATGTAAATTTTTGAAGAATATCAATGGTCAGTGGAAGTCAATATTTTTATCCAACTTATTTTATTATTTAAAATATAAATCAGGTCATACCTTCATTGCTCTTCTGTCAATGACTTTCTCATTCCATATAGCATCCATGTCATACAGTCCATCCATGGCATAATTGTCAACACCAGCCAAGTGAGCCTTATTTAGCTCATTGAGCATTTCTGCAGTAAGAGGAACATCATGACGCTTCTTGACACGAGCACGATTCACCAGCTGAAACATTATGATGAAATTACAATCTTATAAAGTGCAAACATGGTGCATGTATGAAAGCTAAGTGTAGAAGATAAATTATATTTTTAAAGAGATGCCAATAGTTAATGTACAGGTAAGATGTAGAAGATAATTGAACTAGTATTTAAGAGAAAAAGAAAGGTTTGGATGAAATTAGAATAGAGTAAAATAAAGCAAGCAACACAGAAAGATTATTTGATAATAAAACCCACAGGACAGTCGTTGAGCATCTCCTCAGTCAGTGGAACGTTCTTCGGCTTGATAACGTTGCAACACGTACGATTCACATACTGGCGAAGAACATGCAAAAGAAGAGCACAAGTTAAAGTCTTGTGCATGGAGAATGTGAAATTTTTGTCCCATGCAAGAGATAATGAACAACATTCAAGGAGTTTTAATTTAATGGTGATGTATATTAGGTTAAGAACACTGGAGAGGACTATCATAGCCAACTGGAAAAAAAAAGAGGAAGTTCTGACTAATTATGTTACAGGTATGAATAAAGAAAACAAGAAATTTATATATCCCATGCAGAGAAATAAAATCATAATTGTGTGCAAGACAACACTGATCTACAACTATATAAGTATTTCAAAGCAATGTGTCGTGCATTACTATAAGAGAGAAAAACCCATTATTACCTTCCTTTGCTTAGGTGGAAATTAATATGTAAGTTAAGCAACAATATTGAAATCCATAGAACAAATGTGAAGATAATGAATCAGAGTTTTAAAATACATTACTGGCTTCTATATTACTTCTGTATAATTAAAATTTACGGTCCTTGTGTAGAATCTACTTAAGGCAAGCAACTGATGACTTTCATTTTACACAGTTAACGGCAGTGCTTACAACACAAAGCCAATAGGATTGAGCTGAGAGGCTATCAGAACCCTTGAAACTTATCATGGTCACAGTTATATCAAGTAAATTTGACTGCACTGGCTCTTGCATATACAAAAGATATCTCAAAATTTTGCTACTATATTAAAGCTTATAAAAAAACTGTGAGGGAATATGTACTCACCACAGTAATTCCAAATATGAGTATGAAAAGTAGGGATGCAAGTCCAATGACAATGACAGCAATGAGCCATTGTGGGATCAAGTAATCATCTTGTTCTTCATGGAGGATGCGAGCTCGTTCATGCATCACTGAAAATAAAAAGTTATAAGAACCAAGTTCAGCAGAAATACATTAATATCAAATGCAGAGTGAAGAGAATAACTGGATCTTGAGTGCTAAAGGGGCACATTTAATTTCAGTTAATGTAAGAATTTTATTCCTCTTCTGCAGGTTTTGTCTGTAAATGACTTCTATAAAGTAGGGCCCTAACTTTCAGGTTACTTGGGTATGATCTTATTTATGTATAAGTTATTGTTCTACACTTACAACATTGGCACTTAGAGATCAGTTAATTACAACCACTGATCTTCTGTTACAGTCCTTGAAAATATTCAAAAAGAAATTATTTTACATAAATACCCAGTGCCTTTTTTATCATTTTTTTACCAAATGCAATAAATAATACTTTATGTTTATGTTATGCATGTATAGAGAGTTAACAGTTGTTTTGTGGAGAATGGTTCAGAACTACAGTTAATTACATTATTTGGTTTGGTCTGTGGTAGCCATCTAGCTACTCCATACTGAACATGTTCAGTGTGTGAGGCACAGAATGTTGCACCACAGCCTCCCTCTCACAGTTGCACTCAACACTTACTTCACACACCGCATACCCACTACCCCATTCCTCCTGCTCTCTCTCCCCCTTTCTCTCCCTCCCTTTCTCTTTCTCCCTTTTTTCCCTCCCTTTCTCCTCCTTTCTCTTTTCCTCCTTTTCCCTCTCTCAGGGTAGGGGAAGGAGGTTAGTCATAGTTGTCAATATGAAGGGTAGTGTTTAAGTACGTACGTATATGATATTATAGAGTTGAGAGATGTGTTTTTTTCAGTGTGAAGTTGGTAATTATAGTATATCTTACTAACAACAATGTTACATGGGTGGAGCAGCCACCTTCCTTATGGACACAACAATAGGCATAATACTGCCAATGAAAAACAGTCTTCCAGAGGATAGGCTACTGTTTAACTTGAGAATAATTTATTCACTTATGTTAGTTTCTTTAGACTTTTATGAATAGAAGTGCCAAAAAAAATGTGTGAAATGTATGATCTTGGACTGTCACATACAGGAAACACTTATGTAGTTTCAGGGTACAGTAGGTGACCATCATTAAAATACATGTACATCTTACAAGAAGTTAAACTTGCTATTTCATTCATGTTAAATTGGAAAAACATTAAGGTTTATACGCCAAAAAAACGTGTATTATTTAAAAATTCTCTATTGCTAAAACCAAAACAAAAGATTTTGATACATCCAAAATGAAAAAAATTATATTAGCCATATAATACTCACAAAACAATGTCACTGTAGCAGCATAATGAAGAAATAATGAATATGTTTATCAATATTAGAACCATTCACATACATACAGTAGAGTAACAGTTAAAACTAAGTTAAAATTCACTAATGTTCACGTAGAACACATGAAGTTTTTAAAGATCCTCATATAAATAGCACTGTAGAGGTAGCTTTTATATTTTCAGACAATTACTGTAAATGCACTCCAAATAAGTTTTAACAATTAAAAAAACTGCTTGTAAAATCTGAAATACAGTAGTTAGTTTAATACCTTTATTATGCACCTCATACCCATCCTGTGGGTGGTAGCTGCTGTATAGTCCTTGTGGCTTAGCGCTTCTTTTTTGATTATAATAATAATGTGGGTGGTAGTCAAAAGATTACAGAGGTACATAATGGGTCCAGGGACTGGACCCCAAAGTTATGATAGTTGAACCAGTTACAAAGGTAATGAACTCCAGGTACATCTGGTCACAATCATGGCAAGTTACAAAGGTAATGAACCATCTACACTCCCATACATGGTTACAATCATGAACAGATTACAAAGTAATGAGCCACTGAAATACAGTACATAACAATATGTACCCAAAATTGCTATAAATGCATAGAACTAATTGAATGCTCAAAAATTACATCCCAACTTTAACTGCATTAAAGAGATTATGCACCCACTGTATCCATGAGGAACACAATGTGAAATTTAAGAGAGGGAGCTTATATTTCAATGCAGCTCAGAAACCTTGCTTGAAGATAATATAATACTATACAAGAGTCACTCATCTGAAATCAACTGTAGGTAATAGACATTAAGATAAACAGTATCATTCGTAGCCCATGGTTATTGAATTCATGTACAGTACGTATTCTTATTCTCACAGACTTGTAATCATAATTTAGTGTTATATATATCATATATGTTACACCCTAATTGTATACATAATATACTCTACTCCACTTTATGAAAATAGTTTGTTTATAGTCTTAGTTAACAATGGAGGGTTATGTTCCTGAAAACTAATGTTTTACATCAAATTGTATTACCTGGACTGAAGAACAATTATAAGAGATGGTGAAGAAACAGGAAGTAACAATCTACTTCATAATTACAGTTTACTTCTTTATACTTCATTCAAAGTTAATTTATCATAACTTTGTACTTCTGTCCATTGTCTCTCTTCACAACTGATTTTGTTATAATCATTTCAGAAGTTAATTACTTTATATTATTCCTCAATCAGTTTCTCATATAACCAGTGCTCAATTGCTGATGATTCTACCTCATCCTTCTTCCCCATACATACCCTACTTCAAAGTTCATGAATGACCCTGGTTTAAATTTCCTGTCTTATCACAGTGATAATCAGTATTCTTCTGGCCATAATGGCTTCATTACTCAGCAACCCAATCAAAAACTGTTCTCGGTAAAACCAAAAATATGTCAATACAGTGGAACCTCAGCTTACGAGTGCCCCACCATGCAAGTTTGTTTCTGGATACGAGCAAGAATTCAGGATGCGAGCTCTCCCCTCAAACAACTTTTTTTTAGACCTCCAGATCTTACAAAAATAGAAGTGAATATATAATTGTAGTTCATTGTCGTGTTGTATTATGTAGGTTTTACTTCTTAAGACTATAACTGCACCAGAAATAATAGCATTTCTTACCTTAAATTGTGGGTGCTGGTTTTTGTTGATTGTGAAGAGAGTGGAGAGTTATGCTGTGGCCCTACTGGACTGAGGTGGATGGTAGAGGTATTTGTACTGAAGTCGATGGTTGTACTGGAGTGTGCATAAATTCTGTAATGGATTTCTGTTCCATTTTACCCTGCAGTACATTATACAACTGACAGTAAGGCATCAGCTGCTCTAGACACTGTTTCAGGGTCAGCCAGTCAGTTAAGTTGGTAAGTCAGTTGGTCAAGTCAGTAAGTCAGTCAGTTAAATCATTTAGTCAGTAAGTCAATCAGTCAAGTCAGTAAAGTCAGTCAAGTGAGTTAATCAGATATGGTAATTAAAAGATCAAAACAATCACAAGCTGCAGCTAGCTTGTAGGAGAGAAGTGGAACTGAACGCAAATTATTCATGAAAGCTGGGATGGTGGTGGCTGTCGGGGGATGGCAGGAGGTCTCTCCCGCTCACCCACAACAAGGCGACTGCTTGAGGTAGGGAATGGCCGCCACCACTTGTCACATAATGACATAGTATTTTATTCATTCTAAGGCTCTAGTGGCCTGGTGGTTAAAAGCTCTCGCTTCACACAGCGAGGGTCTGGGTTCGATTCCCAGCCAGAGTAGAAACATCGAAGTCTTTCTTTACACCGGTTGTCCGTGTTCACCCTTCAGTAAAATGGGTACCTTGGAGTTAGTTGACTGGTGTGAGTTGCATCCTGGGACAAAACTGACCTAATTTGCCCGAAATGCTCTGCATAACTAGTGGCTTTCTATATAGTAGTACGTATGTCATTGATGCCAGCTATGCCTGTATACCTTGTACATGTACTTGTAGTAAATAAAGATATTATGTATTATATTATTATATACATATCAGGTTTCTATGTTACAGTATGTATTTATATTGTTTATTATGTCACATTAGATGAATTGTGATAGATAAATAAGCCGTAGAGTTGATGTTAGTGAAATACTGAAGTATTTTTTCATGCCTCCTGAGAGCCGGAATGGATCTGCCCGAAATGCCTAGCCATGCTAAGCGTTCTAGTGGTACACTCTGTAATCACAATTTTACTACATGTAAACCACACAATAACCAAATTTCTGTAAACTCAGCATTGTAATGCTTATAGAGAATAAACTTTGAATTTGAATTTGATTAATTGCATTTCAATTAATTTAAATAAGGAAGACTGCCTCAGCATACAAGCAAATCAAGATACGAGCAAGGTCACGGAATGGATTAAACTCGTAGTAGAGGTTCCAATGTATTTAATTTCAATGTTAGATCCCTGCGTAAACATTATGGATACCTCATATTTACTGCTCCATAACCTATGTCTAGTTTTATATAGTCTATAAGCGTTAGGATTATTTTTTTTTATTAACACATCGGCCGATTCCCACCAAGGCAGGGTGGCCCTAAAAAGAAAAACTTTAATCATCATTCACTCCCTCACTGTCTTGCCAGAGGGGTGATTTACACTACAGTTATAAAACTGCAACATTATCAACCACCCCCCCCTTCAGAGTGTTTGGCACTGTACTTCCCATCTCCAGGACTCAAGTCCGGCCTGCTGGTTTCCCTGAATCCCTTCATAAATGTTACTTGGCTCACACTCCAACAACATGTCAAGTATTAAAAACCATTTGTCTCCATTCACTCCTATCAAATACGCTTACACATGCTTGCTTTATAAGTCTGCCCGAAATGCTCATGCATGCTAGTGGCTTTCTTTTTGCTTAAGAGTACTTTATTACATGTATACTACAATTTATATACTACACAAAGAAAAAAATTTTGAATTTTGAATTTTTTTTCATAGCACTCCTAGACTCTAACCATTTCACTGTTTCAACTCCTGAAATTAAAATGGGGGGAAAATCGTTTAATTTGAGTCTTTTTTTAAATGAATTCCATTGCTCAATTCAACAAAATTTCTTGCTATTTTGTTAGCATGCCTGCCATTCTATCGACTGAGTGGAAGAAAGTGCTCATTCAGCTCTCAAAATATTTTATAAATTGCCCAAAAGTCAGTAATTTGGCCAATTTTACACAAAATTAAAAAAAATCCAATTTTAAAACAGAATTCAGAATATAGTAAGCATTCCCGTCATAAAGCAACATTTACTCTGCCCACTAGTCACATCTCCAGGTAGGTAAGTGCATGAGTGAGACCAAAATAATGTCTGCATAAATAACTCTTTACAATTGTGACCGGATACAAACATGTAAATAGTTCATTATCATTGTAACTTGTTCAGCTAACAAAACTTTGTGGCCCAGTCTCTGGACCCATTATGTACCTCTGTAATCTTTTGACTACTGCCCATGGAATGGGTATGGGTTGCATAATAAAGATAATACATAATATCTAGTGTAAACATGTTACCAGGAATTTTAGATGCATTCGATAATGAAGAAATGCTGTTTACACATATCACATGAGGTCAGGATGGTTTAGGCCATACAAGTAACTGAAGCAGATCTATCAAAAACCTATAAAACAAACCAAAAGGTATAAATGAAGCCCCTACCCTTTGTCTGAAAAACCACCAAACATTTAACAATTCTACTACTTTGAGCTATGTTTCAAGCTACTTTCAGTCCTGAAATGTACCTAAATCATTTCTACTTCACTAGTTTGTATTAGTTCAGTCATTTAAACCATTTTGATATATGATAAAAAAAATACCAGCATGTACCCAAAATGAAATATTTTTTCTTAAAACCATAGTTTTCTTTAAATGAAACTTTTTTTTATATGCTAAGTTGTATGCTTGAATAGTAATTTTCAATATGATTTAACACATGCTAAAGTTTGAAAAAACATATTTTTAATCAGTTGTTCTGCAAAAAGCTAAATATCCTAAAAAAATCTTCATTCATTTTCTACCCAAAGCAAGCCTAACTAAAGGAAAAATGACATAATAATAAAGTTCAATTCAACAAACATGTGCAAAAGTGATTGCATTCCCTGGCCTCATCTTTGTCACCTGTCCTCTAATCCTAGTTGTGGCCTTGTATATTGGACAAGCTTTTCATTATATGCACATCCTATAAATCATGTAATAAGTATGTCTATCACGTGGGTGGCCTGGTGGCTAAAGCTCCCGCTTCACACACGGAGGGCCCGGGTTCGATTCCCGGCGGGTGGAAACATTTCGACACGTTTCCTTACACCTGTTGTCCTGTTCACCTAGCAGCAAATAGGTACCTGGGTGTTAGTCGACTGGTGTGGGTCGCATCCTGGGGGACAAGATTAAGGACCCCAATGGAAATAAGTTAGACAGTCCTCGATGACGCACTGACTTTCTTGGGTTATCCTGGGTGGCTAACCCTCCGGGGTTAAAAATCCGAACGAAATCTTATCTTATCTTACCATTCTCTTAACTTAGAGGAGTACATAGAATGATCACAAAATAATATATTTTTCTTATGTTATTGTAAGGTCTGTCCAGTACTGAATCAGGCAGATATTAATAATAATAACATAATAATGTAAGAAAGGTAACATTTATGAAGGGATTCAGAGAAACCGGCAGGCTGGACTTGATTCCTGGACATGGGAAGTACAGTGCCGGCACTCTAGTGTCAGCATGCCTCTGGCAAGACAGTGATGGAGTGAATGATAATGAGAGTTTTTCTTTTTCGGGCCACCCTGCCTTGGTGGGAAACGGCTGATGTGTTAATAAAAAATAGTAATAATAATAATAATAATAATAATAATAATTCATCATGATACAACATTGGTACAGAGATGGATGGCATTTTGTTGTTATGCAGAGCATAATGTAACATTACTTTTATTTAAAGCTTGCATAGCAGGTAGCAAACAATAAAGCAGTGTAAGTGTGAAGACAAACAGAAGATTAGTTGGACTAAAAAGATATACTGTGGCCCATTAATGGTGTAATAAAATATTTACAAATAGGTTGCTAAGCCAAGAGTGATTCACAAAGCCTGAACACAAGAAGAGTTTGCAGATAATTTTAGAATTACACAGATTAAAATTATAGACTACTGTTTACATACACCTACCATCCGACTTACGACCGAGTTTGGCTCCGAGAAACCGGTCGTAAGTCGAAATGGTCGTAAGTCGAACTTTACTACTGAATATCAACAAAACATTTTTGTAATGACTTTATTTTATTGTTTTATTTTGGTATTTCATGTTTTACTTTACTTTTTATATTGTTAGTACTGTATTTTATAATGTAAGGTTTAGGATAAACACTGTGTACAACACAAATAGTTGTTTATTTCCCAGAAATTTTGCATAAAAAACACGGTCGTAAGTCGAGTGGTCGTAAGTCGAGCAGGTCGTAAGTCGGATGGTAGGTGTACTTTGCTTGATTTGCCGTGGTTGAAAAGAAGTTGTATACAGGCAGGCCTCACTTTACAGCATTTCGCTAATGAAGCCGTTTTCAATTATTCCCATTCTTCATTTATTCAGACTTTTTACAATAATTATATTCACTCACTGTAAGCTAATAAAATAATAATAATAATAATATCTTTATTTCTACAAGTATATGTACAAAGTATACAGGCCTAGCTAACATCAATGACATACGTACTACTATATAGAAAGTCGCATGTTATGCTGAGCATTTCAGGCAAATTAGGTCAGTTTTGTCCCAGGATGCGACCCACATCAGTCGACTAACACCCATGTACCCATTTTACACTGATGGGTGAACAGGGATAGCAGGTGTCTTATGGAAACATGTCCCTAATGTTTTCCAGCTGTACCGGAGGAGATTCGAACTCTGGACCTCAGTGTGTGAGAGCTGAGGTTAGTAATGTGTGCACTGTATATGCAGTTTTTAGGCCTAGGTCTATTGCTCACTTAATATATGAGAGTATAAACTTCCTATTGGGCTTTTATATGCATCTGAAAGTGAAAAAAGATTGTTTCACTTTACAGCAGAAGCCTAGAACCTAACTTGCTGTATAAGCAGGGCCTTCCTGTATTAAAGAAATCTGAAGGAAAAAATATTACATGAAAACCAAATTCAAATTGAAAAGCAGTAGGCACATACCAATGAAGTCAGTTCCTTTGGGGTCAAGTGTATAGTTGCCAAGGTAAAAGGATTCATTCTCGTCCATCTCACGGTTGACTATCTCTCTTAAGATCAGTTGTGTCAAGGGTGCCTGATATATCTGTTAGGTGGAGAATGTAATCGACCAGAACTGAGCCAGGGTTGAAAGCATCAATCTCTACCCTCTCATACAAAGGTGCAAGTGAGCTACGACGGTATAATGAATCCAGCTGAGAACGAAAACAAAAAAATTGTTAACGATATTTATCATATGTAAGAACTTCAAAAACTTTGCCATGTGCCAAAGCACAGCTTACATATCTATGGAATGAGAAATAATTGGTGAGACCTCCCTTATTTGATTTTAATTGAATATCACTATGTAATAACAGAATCAGAATATATCTGCAAATTTTTCAATATAACTGGCAGTTGACTTGAACTGAACAAAATTCCACTAATAAGCAATATCTATAATAATACTATACCTCAATTTCAATTGTGTTAGCTAGTTCTTGCCACTCCAGTGTATCTCTGTTGGCCAGCTCAGGGCGCCACTCAGTACCATCAACAATCTTCAGTGTAGCAGCCAGGCGGCACTTTGCTCCACACACACCTGTTTCAGAAATAGCAATTTGTTATTTAGCTTTTCTAACCAAAAATTATACCCTGAGCTTATAAATTACATAAACTGTAAATACAGTACAATGAACTAATTTTCAAAAGATAAACTTCTGGCAACTTATCAGTAACACACAGATAGATTTGTCATGTATGAAATATGACAGTGAGATGTTCAAAACAAGGCAGAGACTCGAGAGACAGAAACAAATATTTTGAGATATCCTTAATTGCAATTGATAATATACAGTAGCACCCCTGTATCCACGGAGGATATGTTCCCAAGACCTGCCATGGATACCGAAACCGTGGATAGTAGCAAACCCTGTATATAAGTCCTATACATACCTATTATGATGTTTAATTGATAAATTATGCACAATAAGTGGAGAATTAACACTTTCGTGCTCTGGGGCCATTATTATGCAAAATTAAAAGGTATTTTTGGGCCACAGTAAACCGTGGATAATTGAAACCGCAGATACTGAGTTGTGGATATGGGGGTTCTACTGTGTGTACAAAATTTTAATGTTTATCGGGTGAAGAAAAAGTCATAAATAAGTGAAGCAGTAAAACAGCTAAACTAACAAAGGGAAAAAAATTCAGACAGAGGAGATTCTGTGCCCAAAATGCACATGCATGCTAGTGGCTTTATTTGTGCTTAACAATACTTTATTACATGTAAACTACACATTTTGTTTTTGTTTGATCGAGATATAATTAACTCTGTTACTGTTGGTCATGTAGATCTAAGGGACTGAGGCCAGTGGCTTTCATGGATGAATACGTAAATCGTGGTACTCTCAAATTTGCTGAGTGGCATATTTTAACCCATGAGAACATAGGTCTCTGTGGTGGGTGTGCATGGTATTAAAATCATGCCTTACATGATGGGAACAGCTCTGACAGTGCTTTATTGGCTGTTTCTTGGTGTCACTTGATAGTCTGGAAGACATATTATTAACCCTTTCAGGGTCGAGAGGCCCTCTCCTAAACTTGTTCTCAGGGTCGAAAAATTTTTGGAAAAAAATTATTTTTTCTTATGAAATGATAGAGAATCTTTTCTCGATCATAATGACACCAAAAGTATGAAATTTGATAAAAAATTACGGAATTGTGCTCTCGCGAAGTTAGCGGTCTCGCCGATGTTTACGCATCAGCGATTCCGCCCACTTTGAGCCCTATTTTTGGCCAATTCCTGTGTACTAGTTGACAAAAATTGACTAGTACATGTTCTGTATGCAGATGGCAACTTTTGTCATCTCCAACCCAAAGCTGAACTCTCACTAACATCGTCAAGCAAATGCACTCTTAACACTGACCAGACCTTTTATATGATGTTTGGGAATTGAGCTGCAAATGTCCAGCTAAATGTTATGATTAACAGCTCATCCATTTCGAGACATAAAAGGTATCCAAATAAGTTGGCATCCTCTCCAAGATCATTACTATGTACAGTGGTCCCTCAATAATCGTCCGGCCTGAAAGTCGTCCATTTCGGAAATAGTCCTGTTATTTCGTCTAAACATTGGCTCGCAAATGGTCCGTTAACTCGCTAATAGTCCTTCGTCTGGGACGCGTACTCATGCTCTGAGCCGCCTGGGCCTTCCCTTCCCAGCCAGTGTGCCTTTGTTTACCAGTGAGCGACGGTCCCCTCACTTGCTCCAACGAAATATTTCATAATATTCCATTGATTTTAGTGCTTGCAAGTGCTAAATAAGCTACCATGGCTCCAAAGAAAGCTCCTAGTGCCAAGCCTTTGGTAAAGGTGAGAAATACGATTGAATTTAAGAAAAACATCATTGAACAATATGAAAGTGGCGTACGTGTGGGCGAACTGGCCAGGATGTATAACAAATCCCGTACAGCCATATCTTCCATCATAGCCAAGAAGAAGGAAATCAAGGACGCTGTTGTTGCAAAGGGGGTAAATATGGTGACAAAAATGAGATCACCGTACTTGAAGATGTTGAGAAGTTATTATTGGTGTGGATAAACGAGAAACAATTAGCAGGAGATAGTCTTATGACGTCGCTTGTTTGTGAAAAGGCTAGGCAGTTGCATGACGATTTGGTAAAGAAATTGCCTGCAACTAGTGGTGATGTGAGTGAATTTAAGGCCAGCAAATGGTGGTTTGAGATTTAAGAAGCGTACTGGCATACACAGTGTGGTAAGGCATGGTGAGGCTGCCAGTTCTGACAACAAAGTGGCTGAAAAATATGTGCAGGAATTCAAGGAGTACATAAACAGTGAAGGACTGAAACCTGAACAAGTGTTCAATTGTGACGAAACAGGCCTCTTTTGGAAGAAAATGCCAAAGAGGACCTGCATTACTCAGGAAGAAAAGGCACTGCCAGGACACAAGCCTATGAAAGATAAACTGACGTTCATGTTCTGTGCTAATGCTAGTGGGGATTTCAAAGTGAAGCCGTTACTAGTGTACCATTCTGAAATTACCAGAGTGTTCAAGAAAAACAATGTTATGAAGAGTAAATTGTGTGTGTTTTGGAGATCTAATAATAAGGCATGGGTCACAACGGACATTTTCGTCGAGTGGTTCAATGAAGTGTTTGGCCCTAGTGTGAAGAATTACCTCCTGGAAAAGAAATTGGATCTCAAGTGCCTCCTAGTAATGGACAATGCACCTGCTCATCCTCCAAACTTGGATGACCTAATTCTGAAGGAGTTTGGGTTCATCACAGTAAAGTTCTTGCCCCCGAATACCACTCCTCTCCTCCAGCCCATGGACCAGCAAGCCATTTCAAACTTTAAAAAACTCTACACCAAAGCAATGTTTGAAAGGTACTTTAACCCTTTGAGGGTTTTCGTCGTACTAGTACGTCTTACGCGTAGGGGTTTTCGACGTACTAGTACTCATAAATTCTAGCGGCCTCAAATCTAGTGGGAGAAAGCTGGGTAGGCCTTCATATGGAAAGATGGGTCTGTGTGGTCAGTGTGCACAGTCTAAAAAAAAATCCTGCAGCACACAGTGCATAATGAGAAAAAAAAAACTTTGACCATTTTTTTTTAATAAATCAGCGACTTTGCAGTGTATTTTCGTATGGAATTTATTGTTGTATTCTAGTTTTCTTGGTCTCATTTTATAGAATGAAAGACATTTTACAGTAATTGAGGATGATTTGACTGATTTTACAAAGAAAGGTGCCTTGAAATTGAGCTCAAAGTAGCAGAAATGTTCGATTTTACCAAACTTCAAAAGTAAAACAAATCGTGCCAAGCGTGCAATACACGTCAACTGGTGAGTCTAATTATTCTTTCACAAGTGCACCAATAATATTTATACATTTTTTTACACTAATGCAGTAGTCTGCATAACAGTAAATCTTATATTTTTTGTGAAAATAAAAATTCAAAGTGGAAACAAAAGAATATAAGAGGGGCCTTGAGACGTGACTAATGACTAGAGGAAATGTCATTTTAGTGCCAGGAATGTCTTTCTTGTTTATTCTGGACCCCATTCGGAAATGGCATCTTTGAAATTTGTGTGAAATTGGCAAAATTGACTAAATTCTGGACCACTGTACTGGATAGTTGAATTTCATAAATGAGTGGTTTCTTGCACCCATTCGATAGAAAAAAATGGAGTTTAGCGAAATATTCATGTTTTTTGTCGATTTAGTACAGTAAAATTTGGGCCGAAAATGGGCTCAAAGTGGGCAAAATCGCCGATGCGTAAACATCGCCGAGACCGCTAACTTTGCGAGAGCATAATTCCGTAAGTTTTCTATCAAATTTCAAACTTTTGGTGTCTTTATGATCGGGAAAAGATTCTCTATCTTTTCATAAGAGAAAATAATTTTTTTTTTTTTTTAAATTTGGCCGACCCTGAGAACGAGTTTCGGAGAGGGCCTGTCGACCCTCAAAGGGTTAATGTGACCTCAGACACTCACTTGACCCTAAGAAATTTTTGGAAAGAACACTTCAGTATTCTCCATTGCATAAGCCTTATAGGTAAGGCTTGGGAGGGAGTGACTACCAGGACTTTGAACTCTGCTTGGAGAAAATTGTGGCCAGATTGTGTCCACAAGAGGGATTTTGAAGGGTTTGGGCACCCCCTGATGAGCCTATGTCAGTTGTGAACTCTATTGTCGCACTGGGGAGTTCCATGGGGTTGGATGTGGGTTTGGAGGATGTGGAAGAGTTGGTGGAGGACCACAGTGAACAGCTAACCACTGAGGAGCTGCAAGAGCTTCATCAGGAAGAGCAACAGATCGCAGCTCAGAATCTTGCTGCAGAGGAGGAGGAAGAGAGATGGAAGAAGGTGCCTTCTTCAGAAATTAAGGAGATTTTTGAAATGTGGGGTAGTATGGAAAGATTTATGGAGAAACATCACCCTGAGAAGGATGTTGCAAGCCATATGGGCAACTTGTACAGTGACAGAGTCTTGGCCCATTTTAGGGAAGTTTTAAAGAGATGCCTGAAACAGAGCTCTCTGGACAGTTGTTTTGCGAGACAGGACTCCAGTGACTCTCAAGGTGGTCCTAGTGGCATTAAGAAACAGAGAAGAGAAGTAACCCCAGAAAAGCAATTGGTACCTGAGGTGTTGATGGAAGGGGATTCCCCTTCCAAGCAGTAAATAATCCAATCTGTCTCCTTCTCCAGTCTTCCATACACTAAGAAGAATCGCCAATAAAGGTAAGTGTTATTCTGTTAATGTTTCATTCATCATGTGCCATTGTATTGTTTTTATACTACATCTATATTTCATGTAAAAAAAAATTTTGTTTTAATACTTCTGGGTGTCAGGAACGGATTAATTGCATTTACATTATTTCTTTTGGGGAAAATTGATTCGAAAATTGGCTATTTCGATAATAGTTCCACTTCCAGGAACGGATTATGGACGATTATTGAGGGACCACTGTACCTCAAACAGCACTACTTACATTATAAGTATCACTCTCTAGTTTATCCTTGCCTCACCTACGCTATTTGTGCCTTGGGATCCACTACAGCAAATCACCTGAAGTCAAA